AGTCACATGAAGGTAGATAGGAAAGATAGGCTGAGTAGTGTAGGCTGGGCGCTGGGCACCAGACAGTGGGAGTGACATTGGATATAGTGTTGGTGTGGCATTGGCACTCGAGTTCATTGTACTCTTATTTGGATGGTATCTTGGTGCATTGTGCTCTCTGCTTGGTACATGACTATCTGGACTACTTCGTGATTTTGCAACTTGGTTTTCTGTCTATCGCTCTCGCTCAGAGCGAGAGCGATAGACAGAAAACCAAGTTGCAAAATCACGAAGTAGTCCAGATAGTCATGTACCAAGCTTGGTATCGGAGCTGGTTCTATATCGCCGTTACCGGCGCTGGCGACTTTGTTACTTGGTGCGCTGACGAAGCTTCTACACAGTGAGGATACATTGGCGGTGGCTTGTTTAGCCACTCCCAGGTAGAGGGGAGTCTGGGAGGAAGGCTGTGTCGACAACGGATGTATGTGGGATGATGAGAGCATGCTGACATGTCATTTTGGCTGAGGTGGCACTGTATTGCATTGTGAGTGGTACCGAGGCTGTGACCGGTCATCAAAATGCACGTTGGCTCAATTGGTGAGATGTTTGTGGTTGGGGGCAGCTATCTTCAGGTACGTTGTTCCCTTACCTTATCTTCCCATCTCAATCTCTTATTACCGTGAGGAAGTGAGCTCAACTTGAGTGTCCTCTTCTGGTTCAGGAGTCGTGAGCGCTCTACCTTGAGAGTGAACATTCTTCCTAGTGGCGCATCTGGCAGGAGAGGGTGGTGCCTCTGAAGGACCCTGGTCGAAGCACGGGTCACAGTCACTATGCCAACCCATGGGAGTAGACCACGCATGCTTTGGTGTTTTGTCCTTTGAGCTCTTGCTACGCTATAGAGGGAACGTGGACTGGCCAGTCCTATGCGAGACGTGTACCACACCGTCTATAAACAACCTTTGGTGGGGATATGATATCTGGCTGTGATCGTCGTCCTATCTGTGACGTTAAATAATTCCTGAGGACTTTGGTGGCTGTCCTTAAATTGCCTTTTGATCAGCGAGATCATCGGTCGTAAGGCTCGTTGCACGCGAGGATAAACAAAGAGCGGTGTTGGCCATAAGTTGGTTCTTGGGCACAGGGGTGGGCCAATGTGCACACCATAGACACCGTAGCTCGATGATGCAATCAGGTTTGTTGGATACAGGGGAGGGAAGTTTCCAATTGGTGCTCGTATACAAACACAATTATTCCCATTTATGCATATATTTGTGCAAGTGATGTATTTTTATTTTTGATTAGTTGAGGTGACAGACTGCTAACACCTAACAAACATCATCAAACTAGAACTGTAGTAGTCTACCATAGCCAGTTCTAATTCTTCGCTGTTGTAAGAGAACTGATCAAAGTAGGGATAGATCGTTTGCTTTGTCTGTGTAAATGCCATTGACACGACTTGATTGGTAGTGTAAGTGACTTGCCGAATATTCATTTATTTTTATTTATTTTTCAAGTCGGTCAGACACATGCTGTGGTAGTCCCCAATGTGGGCTCTAGTGCAGATAGTGATCTGCCTAGCCGATGAGCGGACAAGGTAGTGAGGAGGATAGATCTGCAAGGGGAAGGGTGACACGTCAGGAATCTCTTAGGATACCCATCGTGCATCAGGCTTTACCACTTTGCAAAAGGCTAGGGAAGCAGCAGCAGCAGCCGAGCAAGTACTGGCGGCGGCAACAACCACTGTTGGAGCTATGGCTACTTCTGCTGCTACATCTCAGGGTCAACAAACTGTAGCCATGCCGACCAGTTTGCAGGCTACTTCTAGCGAGATGAGTGCAAGCACTTCTTCTAGTCAGATGGTGGGCTCACAATATAGCCAGCCACCTTCACGCACTAGGGAGGCAATAGAACTCCGATAGGTGGAGTTGATCCGTTGACGGTTAGAGAAGGAACTTAGAGAAGCTACCGAAAGAGAAACGGAGATAAGAAATAGAAAAGCCAGATTAGAGAACAGAAGGGCAGTCAAGGCTGCATTAGAAAGTTTAGACGACTCGACTCTTGACGACACGAGCAAGATCCTCAAGGCGGGTATGTTGAGCATGTACGCGTACATGGACAGCAAAAGCATAAACAATATATTGGTATGAAGCCTTAGAAGACTTAGAAACCGAGTGGTCGGCAAGGACCCTCGTGAGTCTTTGGTGGCACTGTCAAGAGGTCCTAGAGGGGAGCACTTTGTTGTGGAAGTCGGTGTAGGTGGCCGCAAGTGTAGCGCCTTCGTAGACATTGGCTCCACGCGAAACTTCATAAATCGCGACTGCGTTGAGAGACTGCACCTAGGGGACCGGGTGTAGCGCTCGAGTAAACTTGTAGCATCTACTCTAGCCAACAAAGAGCGCATGTTGGTTAAAACTGCGTCAAGGACGTGGTCTGCACCCTTCTCTTATGGAGGTGGGGAACTTAACCATCAGATTTCGTTCCTAATCAGCAACGACTTACCATTGGATATGTTGTTAGGTATGTACTACCTTGAGGTTGCCAAGCCCTAGTTTGACTGGGACTGAAAAGTGCTCAAGCATGTGTTGCCTGATGGGAGGACCATTAGACTAGCTAAGTACAAAGCTAGCCAGTTAGTTGACTCTTATGGGTGCATGTGTGCAACTGCGTTTTGCAATTACTATAAACAGAATCAAGAGGAGGTTATGTACTTAGTCTTCGTCTCTGAGAAAGGAGAGGCCGTTAAATCACCCACAAAGATAGAAGTTGTCGTTGCTAAATACACTGATTTGTTTGAGGAGCCTTCATGAGCCGTACACAGGGAAGTTGTTCATGCCATAAAGATCATCCCAAGTAGCAAGACACCGAAAGGGAGAATCTATAGGATGGCTCTGGCCGAGTTGGACAGGCTTCGTCGGCAACTGAAAGAGCTCACAGAGAAGGGTTCGATTCGGCCTAGCATTTCCCCCTTTGGCTCACCAGTACTATTTATTCTGAAGAAGGGGGGATCATTGAGGATGTGCATTGATTATAGAGGCCTCAATGTCATCACTGTTAAGAACACAGAGCCTCTACCCCACATCGAGGACCTTTTGGATAGGGTGCAAGGATGTAAGTGCTTCACTAAGATAGACCTAAAGTCTGACTACCATCAAATTGCCATTAGACCAGAGGATCGGCCCAAAACCGCATTCCAGACCAGGTACGGTCTGTATAAGCTTGTGGTGATGGTTTTTGGCCTTTGCAATGTGCCGGGTACATTTCAACACGCCATGACCAGGGTGTTTCATGACTACTTGGATAAGTTTATCGTCGTGTATCTCAACGATATTCTTATCTTCAGTAGAACAATTGAGGAGCATGCCCAACATGTAGAAACTGCACTCTCACTCCTGCGACAACACAAGTATAAGATCAACTTAGAGAAATATGAGTTTGGTCGCGCTAAAATATCGTACTTGGGTCATGAGATGTTCGCGGAAGGGATAAGGACCGAAGATGCAAAGGTGGCTAGCATTCGTGACTGGCCACGACCTCAATCTGTGACCGAGGTTAGATCATTCTTAGCGATGGCTGGCTGCTACCGCATCCTCGTGAAGAACTATAATACGGTGGCTGCCCATTTGACTGATCTAATGGGAATGGACTGACCAATGTGAGGCAGCCTTCAAACGGTTGAAGTATGCTGTCACGCACCATGAGATTTTCATCGTTCCCGATCCGGAGAGGCCATTCGTCGTGACCACTGACGCGAGCGAATACGACATAGGCGCAGTTTTGGCTCAACATGAAGGGAAGAAGTTGAGGCCGATCGAGTACATGAGTAAGGAGATGCCATCTAAGAAGTTGGCGAAGTTCACTTATGAGAGGGAGCTCTATGCCCTTTACAAAGCCCTTGTCCACTGGAGGCATTATCTGCTTGGTAGGTTCTTCTACTTGAGGACAGACCATCAGACACTCAAGTGGATTAAGACACAGCCTGCTCTCCTCGACACAAGAAGGGAGAGTACAACAATGTTGCTGACACGCTGTCGCGCAGGGCAGATTACCTAGGTGCGCTGGTTACTGAGTTTGGCTTATGGGATGATGTAACTTGATCTTTGGTGGATGCCTACAAGGAAGCTCCCGTCATGATGGACATCATACTCAAACTTGAGGCCCAGGACAAGGCCACATCTGGCGAGTTTGTGTTGGTGGACAGATTACTATTTCTCAGAAGGCAGGAGTAGAAAGACTATGTATACCGTCTAGTGAGATTTTACGTAGACAGATTACTATTTCTGAGAAGGCAGGAGTAGAAAGACTATGTATACCGTCTAGTGAGATTTTACGTAGTTTATTTTTAGGTGAATGTCACGGCGCAACAGGTCATTTCGGCTACAAGAAGACTAGTGCTAACTTAGTACTGCGATTTTGGTGGCCTTCGGTAGTATGCTTGATGCTGCGAAGAAGTATGTACAGACTTGTCAAGTCTGTCAGCGGGACGAGTCACGTACTCAAGCACTACTTAGGTTACTCAAGCCCTTGCCCATTCCTGCAGGTCCGGGACAGAGTGTCTCCATGGATTTCATGGATACCATAGCCAGGCTGTAGGGGCGCAGGCAGGTGATGACGATGGTGGTCTTCGGGTAGGAGGCACATGTGGAGGGAAACCAAGGGGTGATGAGGGGAGGAGAGAGAACATACCTGGTGTATGCTGGTGGTCGGAATTGGTGTTGACGCCACGTATATTGGTCTTCGACTTCGATGTGATCCAGTCACATGAACGTAGATAGGAAAATAGGCTGAGTAGGGTAGGCTGGGCGCCAGACAGTAGGAGCGACATTGTATACAGTGTTGGTGTGACTAGAGAGCGTCGGCAGTGGCACTCGAGTTCATTGTATTGCTCTTATTTGGATGGTATCTTTGTGCATTGTGCTCTCTGGTTGGTGCATGACTATCTGGACTACTTCATGATTTTGCAACTTGGTTTTCTGTCTATCATTCTCGCTCATATTCCTTGCAAATCTGCCTGTTAACTGCAGGTAGCAAGCAGTATATTTGAAGTCAAGGACTCAGAGGTTAAAGTGGAAGCTTGCTTATCGCCTGAGGAGAAGCAAAGGCTTCTAGAACAGCAGGGGGCTGAGGAGGACCGCCTGAGGTATGTTAAGTGTCCAAAGCTGACTGACGGGCCTAGCTCAGTTGGCAAACCCATGAACTTTTGAAATTCAGACCCAAGTTCGAATCCAGATGCGATCAGATGAACAAAATAACATAGTAAAGAATGACTTGGGGCCGGTCACCTCAATGATGATATCTCGAGGCCGATGCCCTTTTGAAAAAAAAAAAAAAAAAGTGTCCCCTAAACCCGAAACCCTAAACCCTAAACTGTCCACAAGCAGATGCGGCAAGATCTAGGTTCCCCTAACCCATTGTGAAAAGAGAAGAAAAATTAAAAAAATTGAAGTTAGAAAGAAAAAGTGAAAGGAATTCTTTTCAGCCTTTCTACGGCATTCCTCAAGGAGAACTCCCTATTTTACTAACTATCTTTGATCTCAATTGGCCTTGACACTTTGTGCATGTGCTTCTTGCGAGTCTGCCGTACCCTATGCCTTCTCTTTACTGACTTGGGACGAGTCTGCTAAGTTCGACCACCAGTACCTTTTCCCGCTTAGAAATAAAAAATGCGACTTGTATACAGGCGCAACTTTCGGGAAGTACCGTGGTGCCGTTTCGCTGGATATCCAGCCACGCAGAACGGGTTGCATGCGAGGTCTGTTTTGCCTGGATGGATATCCAGCGAAATGGCACCCCAGTACTTCCGGACAGGCGAGGCTGCATGCACACCACGACTCTGAAAAAATGGCTGGGAGGGTGGTTTAATTGCAATGGTGGGGAAATAATCGCATAACCCTGTACTGCTGTACCTTGGTTTTATCTGCATGCTACACACCTCTGTATATCAACCAATGATCTTCTATTGGTTATTCAGAAACCAATGAGCTTCTACTGGTTATTCAGAAAGTTGGTCAACCCTCATTATCTTTTTTTCCACTCCTCGTCTCGCCACGACCGCTCTCCTCCATCATCTCCCCCAACATCTTATTAATGATAGTAATAACCATGAATGAATGAACCAGAATCAATGTTTGAATCTCGCCCTTACTGCCGGCATCACAAGAAGTCACCTTTGACTACCTACACCTCCTATCACTACTTGGTTGAGCATCCGGCTATGGCGGCAGCATCCAGGCCTAGCCCGGATGTCCACCCTCATTATCTCTGAGGCATATGATAATATGATAACATAAATACTCAAACAGATATTTGGCAGACTTCCAGACGGTGGACAGCTTCTCCGCTCCACCAATACTCCCAGATCTGTGTTATGCNTATGATAACATAAATACTCAAACAGATATTTGGCAGACTTCCAGACGGTGGACAGCTTCTCCGCTCCACCAATACTCCCAGATCTGTGTTATGCTGCTGTGAAGCATGACTAACCCAGAGTTAGTAATACCCCTGAGAAAAGTGGTAAACTTTACTCACACACCAACCATGCAATTGTAGCAGACTGTCGGTCCAAACCCCTGACAAGAATGGCAGCAAGTCTGAGAAACTACCGTCTTCACCTGAATAGAACACCCGGTCATTATAGCCGTATTGGTGCAATTTTCAGTCCAGATACAGCTATAATGACCGGGTGTTCTACTCGGGTGAAGAAGGTAGTCTGTCACAGCCATAAAACCCACTTTACACATCCACTCAGCGATGGATGAATGTGTGTTTGTCAGTCTTTGGCTGTGTGCACTCATTGTGAAGTTCTTGCTGTTCAATATTTTCTTTTCATCTTGTGACCCAGAACTGTGTGGGGAAAATGGCTATATGGCTATGCTCCCGTTATATCAAAATCATAATGAAATGCCTGTTTTGATTTTCTGAAAGGGTGAAAATGTCAGGAAAACTATATTATTGTGGACTCCTTCCTGAGCGAGCCTTTGAGAACATTTACCTACAGACAGGCTATCGGTACCTTTATTTTATTTATGGTAAGTCCTATGGAGGTATTCACCAAATTGTTGCAGTGGTGTGGTTGCACACATCTAGCCCAGCAGTGCACAGATCATTAAGAAAGTGTGAGCTGTTATTAACACATTATGAAGTTGATGATTTCCACCAAGAATTTGATTTCCTGGCTGTGCTCATTCCATGCTGTGTCTTGTTTAGCCTGAGCACTTTGTGCCTCCTACGGCCTTCTCCAGTGAGCAATAGAACAAAACCATCTGCTGATGTAAAACAAATTTCTGCCGAACGAAGGCCGCAGTTGCCTTCGCATTCGGTGTAAGATGATTCAACCATAGTTGTGGCGCACGTGTGCGGTGCGCGGTGCGCACTGGTGCGCTGTGCGCAGGTTTAGCAGCACGCGCGCTGTGCGGTGCGCTGTGCGCTG